GGAGACTGTTTTGTGAGGTTCCCCTCCCCACGAGTGGCTGTGACTTTTAAACTCCCTGAGACAGCATTTATTGCTCATGTGTCAGTGCAGRGAGCTTGTGCAGCACCAGCAGAGGGTTGTGCTTTTATGGTTTAGTCTGTAAATTGGGTCTGGCCCTGAAAACCTCTCAAAGCTCCTCACACACATAAACACAAACCAGCTTACTGCTGACCTGCAGAATTYCCAGCCAGGTGCAAAGTTCATACCTGGACAGGATCTTTGTGATTGACCTCCCCAAACTGCTGCAAAGAAGGCAAGTAACAGGTGTTAACTGCTGTGTGAGAGCAGGAGACAAGAACCAAGGTGCAATAATAGAAAAGGTTTTCAGCTCCCAAACCATGGACTGAAGAAATGCTGGGCTGTCTGTGTGGTGTTCCCCAGAAACTTCTGGAGRTGGCACCTACCCSRCATTGCTCTGCTGTGCTGCAGCACMAGGGAGGACACAGCAGGGACTGGAGGCACTGGAAGGGAGGTAGGGATGAGCTGTGAGATTAAAGGCACTGTTTTGCATGTCTGCTGCTGCTCTGCAGGACTCTGCTCCACTGCAGAGCGATTCCTGCTTGTCACTGCAGSGCTTGTGCTGAGCTGGGGGGGAGGAAACCCCCTCCAGAGCAATCCCATCAAAGCAAACCCCACGGGATTTCATGGCAGGCACTCCAGTGACCCCATGGATGTGCTCACCTGGTGCCAGGGGCTGTCCCTGGCAAGGTGGACAGGTTCCTTCAGCCAGAGGATGAGGAGGAACAGACTGAAAACACCAGGATGGTTTCACCCTGGGCAAGCAGCCAGCTCCTAACCACAGGGATTTYGACTTGTARCCTTGCAAACCATGGATCTTTGCCSAYCAGCCTRTAATATTCCTTTCCTGTCAAGGCTTGAAATCCTTCAGAGGTCAGCCTGGTCCCAGCTCTTTGTGTGTTTAGACAGGTTTCCTCTCCAGACCTGCTCCTGGCTTTTGTGTCTGCAGGTGGCCCTGCTGGGAAAGCCCTGGATGGCATCTTTCACTGCATCTTTCACTGCATCTTTCACTGCATCTTTCACTGCATCTTTCACTGCCCTGGGTGAATGCTGGGCTGGCACTGACTGCCCTGCCTGGAGGGAGCTGGCCTCTGTGAGTGGCAGTCTGTGATAAGGATGTGTGTATAAATATAGAGGATTGATCAATTAATCTTTTTTTCTTCTTTTGGTCTATTTACAAGGTACAAACTGCCACTGGCACCATCTCAAGTGTTAATTTTCCTGCAGTGGTGAGGATATACTTGGAGAGATCATTGGAGCTGCCAGTTCACTGCCCAGTTTGGGGTGGGTTTTCCTAGAGCTGGCAGAGTGATGTCCTCAAGATCACAGCCCCTCCTGCCGAACCTTTGCAAAGTTTTTTTACTGATTTGATGCTGAATCATGAAATATCAGTTACTTTTCACCTTTCCTACCACAGCACTTTTAAATTCAGCTGTACCAGTTCTATGCACCTTCTTTTTGCATCCTGGTTTATTCTTCAGCTAATTTTTGATATCCTCCCCTGGCCTTCTACTGAAATCAGCATCAATATCCTGGTTCTCCTCCTCTCTTTTAGCCCCACAATTCTTCTGCCACTTTCAGATTTCCCTCGGTGTCCTCCTGTGTCCTTCTCTTACTGATTTCCTTCCTCTAACTTTTCCTTTTAAGTCACACCCTGGTTAAGGGTGTAAATGTGTAAGACATTTGCGAGCCTTCCCATGAAATCAGCACTTTCCAAGCCCTTGAATCTGTTTGTTTGTTTTACAGAGAAGAACCAATGTTGTTTTTTTTCTCGTGTGTCTTTCTCTAGGATAGTGTTTCCCCTGCTCTGACCATCATTTCCTTTCCTTGCCCTTCGCTGTTGCCTTCTAGGGAACCCACACCCCACAGCTCAGTCCCTCCTGCCCTCCCACCACCCTGCAGTTCCCCTTGTGCTGCACCACTGATTTCCTCCCACTATCCCTGTCCCAAACCTGCCCTCACCTGCAAGTTTGCTCATTTCCTCCTGTTTCCCCATCTCCATCTCACCCACTTTCCTTTCCATGCCTCCCTTGCCCATTTGGCTCCCCCTCCTGTGCTGGGCAAGCCCCAGTGCTGGGAGCAGCCCGTGTCCACCATCTGTGACCAACTCCTGCCTTCATTTGCTGCCTCATGACTCTCTCTGCTGCCCAGCCCTCTCTGTRCTGCCAGACTGTGCCCATGGGCATTCCCAGAGGTGTTTGGATGTGCAGCACGCAGAGGATGAGCTCTGCAGAGGCTCCTTTGCAGCAGGTTGAAGTGAGGACATGGGCGGTTTGCTCACCATCAGCTCCGAGCTGGAATAAAACACACCAGGACACCTTGAAACGTYGCGAAAGGAAAAGGAAAACTTTGCCAGGGCATTAAAACTGCAGAGTTTGGAGGCTCATATTGAGGAGAGGAGAGGAAAAATGCAGCAGCACCTTCAGTCCTGTGGCAGGTGCAGCACACCCACGCCCAGCTGGGTGTTTGACAAGCTGACACYAGCGCTTTCTTCTCTCTTGACACCAGCAGCAGCCACAAGCACGCGTGCCCTGCATGCCTGCAGAAGCAGGGCAGGAGTTTTGCTGTCACTTCTTCACTTTAAACACCCAGCACAGCCCGAGGCAGCTCCTCCTGTGTGTCCAAGCTGCGGGGACTGCTCAGTGTCCTTCAGCCACTGCAGATTTTTACCTGTTTGTTCAGTCCATGAGGCTCGTCTGACTGCGGAGTAATTTAGGTGTTATAAAAGCACAAGAGAAAAATCCCCTTGTTAGGCCTGGGTGAAATCTTCCCAGCAAATAGTGGGTTTTCTAAAGAAAGGAATTTGAGGAACCAGAAGTACCTGTGAAATTGGATTGAATGCTGGACGAGGAAGGGAAATCTAGGAACTGGGTCTTTGAAAATGCTGGATGCTTTAGTGGTGCTTTTTATGAGAGTTCACCTTTGATTTGTGTTTTTTTTCTTAACCTAGGTCCCTGGGGAAAAAAAAAAGGAAAATTGATGCAGTGAATTTTGAGCGTATTAGAAAACAAACATTGWATTTCTCTTCTAGCTCCAAACCTTGGTATTGGCAACTGAAGCAAAGGCTTTGATTTGCCAGCAAACACGAGGATGATGCAGATGCCTGCGGGCTCTGAGATGAGTTCAGCCCTCCCTGTGCCCTGAARGTCTCCAGTCCTGGCCCTGGGCACTGCAAGAACCTGCTGAGGCTGTAGCTGTCCTTATCTTCCCAATCTCAATGCTGATACCCACATTTGAACAGAAAATGAGGRGGGAGGGGTTGGGGGAGCTTTTTTGGGGGATATTTTCGGGTTTTTTAATCCTGTGGCTGTTAAGCTGCATTTCAGCTCTTTCCGCTGACTCACTGGTCTGGCACAGAGCCAGGGCATTTCTGTGACTCCCCCCTCATTTCCATACGTGCCTCAGAAAGCAGCTGTGCTTACAACACAATTTCAATAAACAGACAACTGAATTATGCACTTCAGAGACTGATGCAAAGTTGCTGAGCTCTCCAGGGCCCTGGGCTAAGGCTCCTGCTGCCAGACTGGGCTCTGCAAAGCMGCCTCCACCCTGCGCAGCCCAGGGCTGCCAAGGTCCTGGCTGCTGATCTAAGTCTAGTCCCAGAGCTGTAATTACCCTCTAACTTGGCTAAAGCTTTCCCCATTCCATCCATCCTGCACCTTTATCTCTGTGGAGCCAGTGAGGAGGAGAACAGGGAGAATGGAAGTCTTATGAGCTTTGTTTTCAGATTTGTGCATATGTAGAGGCAGCAATAAGTTTTGCAGTTAAGCCATGTGTCCGTGGGTCACTCGGTGACTCTCAAAATGTGGTTGTGCCAAGTTGCAGAAGTAATGAGTGAATTCTGGACAGAGCTCTCAATCACATGTTAGAGTAGGCTCCCTTAACCAGAYCTTCACCCTGTGGATGGTGTCTCACACTCCTGTAGGATTGCAGAGATCCAGGTTTATCACCTGTGGACACTCACCTACACCTTGTTCTGTTCAAGGGAGCCACTCACATTTCAAACCTAAAGGCCTCTCTTGATCTGGAAGGGTTTCAGTGAAACCCCAGATCTCAATCCCAGAGCTGCTCCCCACTGATCTGCTCAGTCTGGGAAGAGGCCCTTTCCTGAGGAGAAATAGAGCCCGTGGTGATTAATCCTCCAAACCTCCTGAAACCTATTTCACCCTGGAAAAGGCAACTGATCCCAGACACAATATCTGACAACAGCATGAGGAATCTTCTCTGCTCTGCTCCCCGTGGGTGCGTGTGGGCTCTCCAGTGCCACTCCCTGCCCCGGGAGGCTTCTTGGCTTCTCTCCCAGCTCTGGTGACTGGTTTGACTCCTGGCAAAGGCTCTTATCAGCCTATAAAATTGGCATAAGGCACGCTTCAGGAATGGCGTTTGTTTTCGGTATCAGTCTCTGTGTTTACGAGCCTGATGTGACTGACGTTACATTGCGTTAGGGGTGGATTTTGGTTTCTCCTAAAAAATTCTCTGGGATCCTATCCTTAACAGCAAATCACTGTGGCAAATAGGAACCTGGGGCCGGGGTTAGATATTTATGCCAAAATCCCTGGTAAAACAATTTCTAAAGCACATATCCACTTTCCAGCCTCAGTGGGGGCAGCAGCATCCTTCACATTGCGCCTCGCCACAAGTCGGGGCAAACCTTAACCACGGCAGCTGGGCAGGGGTGCGACCTTACACCGAAATTCAGACACTTGTTGGAAAAAATTATTTATTTATTTATTTATTTATTTATTTATTTATCTTAATTACCCCTCGCGGCGACAGAAAGAGCCCCGCCGACCCCATGCGGACCAGCCCGCGGGTCCCGCAGCATCCCCGGGGATGCTCCGCGCTTCACCTGCGGGGCGGGCACCGCTCCCCGCCCGCCCCCGGCCCCGCTCCCGGTGCCGGCCCCTCCTCGGGGCGGAGCTGCGGCCGCAGCGGGGCCGGAGGCGGGCGGGGAGCGGCGCCGCTGCTTGCTCGGGCTGTGTCTGCTGCTGCTGCTGCTGCGGGAGAGCGGGGCCGGGCCCCTGCCGGAGCGGAGCGGAGCGGTGAGTGCGGGCAGGGGGAGCGGGCTGGGGGCTGCGGGCTGGCCCGGCTCGGCTCGGCTCGGCTCGGTCCGGGGGATGCTGCGGCCGTGCCGTACCGTACCGTACCGTACCGTACCGTGCCGTGCCGTGCCGTGCCGTGCCGACCCGTGCCGCGGGTGCGGTCCCCGCCGCGGTCAGCGCGGAGTTTGGGTAACTCCAGCCCCACTGCCTTCCCCGGGCAGCCCGGCCCCGCTGTCCTCACGGTGGCACACGGATGGGGACGCGGGTGGCACATGGATGGGCAGCGGGTCCCCCTCTCCAGGCAGTTGTGGCTCCCCGGAGCGTTTGTCGCGGTGTCCGAGTGCCGCCTGTGCCGCGGGGCATCGTGCGAGAGCCACGGCGCTTCGGGCTCTTCGTGGGTGGGTTTTGCTCGGTGCGTGTGGAATTCCTTTCCCTTCTGGCGCGAATGGGGTGTGGAAGAAATTTACTCGAGGTAGCACAAATAAGAACAGCCGAAATTCCTGACGTGGGCTTGCAGGTGCTGGTTTCTGTGTGAGGTGAAGGGTTTTCTTGGAGACAGTCTCCTAGCAGACCTGGGGAACTTCAGTCTGAACTTCAGCTCCTTCTCCAGCTGTAGGGCCCGAGGTGTCAGTGGTGGGAGAGATGCTTTTGGTTGAGTCTGACAAGCCAACAAATTCATGTTTATCTCTCTCTGCTTGCTTATCGTGAAAAGATCTTTTCTGCACTCCGGTAACTGCTCGAGGAGGAGGAAGATGCTTCAAGCTGCAGTAGAGTAATAGCAGAAACAGTGGCTTTTCACAAATTGTCAGGGAAAGGAGAGGGTTCACAAACCTGGGGAAAAAGCCCCAAACCCATCTCTGAGCCCTCCCATTCCTGAACAAATGCTCAGAGAACTCGGGAACAGTGGCTACCAGGGCTGCCCTAGGTCTCACCTTGACCCAGCCTTCCTTGACCCGCTGTCCTGAGCCCTGCCATTACTGTTAAGTGGTTTTTCACAGATGGAAGGGCCAAGTGCTGTTATGGCAGAAAGCAGAAGGGTTTTTTCTGGCTGGAACAGAACTTAGTCTGGAGGTGGATCGTGTTTGTTGTGAAAGATGTAAGGAATTTAATCCTACAAGTGAAGAATACTTTTTAATTTATGTTTTTCCCTTCCTTGTTTAGTCTCTGCATAATGGCTTGGATAAAAAACTGCAAATATTAAAATACTCTTTACTACATTATTTTTATGGGGTTTTGTTTCATGTCCTGAGAGCTCTCATGAGGCTGGAMTTGTTTTAAAAAAGCTTATTTTCCGTCTGACTGGAAAACATAAGTGAYTATTTCATAAGAAAAATAAGGTTTAAAGTGTTGAACCTCAGATRCGTGTGATGGATGTGATGAAATGCTGAGATATCACGTCTTCTTTTTGCCATCAAGACCACGTGTCCAGGATGTGCATTTCTAACAATGTCTTGTTGTTGAGTCAGTTGTGGCAGGAAAAATGACCCTGTGTGAATGTGCTGGTACCAATTGTACCAGCTCCTTGGTGCTTCTGCATCGCTTCTGCAGTCACTTTGTTGGAACCTTATTTTCCCTTGGTTTAATAATTTATAAAATGCCTGTTGCCTCTAGGCACATTTCATCCAGCAAGAAGAAAAACATCAACCAGTGTTCACTGGTTACGGAGCCTGAGGTTGACAAATAATGAAGCTTTTGTGGATGAGGGGGTGTCTCATTTTTATCTTATACAAACTCACRGAAACGCATGATTTGTGCTGAAAGTCTTGTTGGTTATTACTCCTTTCTTTTCCCCATCCTTTAAAAGGTCTCTTGCTGGGTGGTGACAAAGTGGGTTTTAACTGTGACCTTCCTTAACCTGATTTTGGATCTGCTTCTTATTTTTCCTTTTACCTGTGTCTAACTCAAGTTTAGCAGCTCTTGAGTATTTAACAGCTGTCAAGTAAGATGGCAAAATCAGATCCTGCATCTTCACCAGCTGAGCTGCTCTGGCTGGAAGAGATGCGTCTCTTTTGGGCAATAAATTGCTCTCTCAAATCCTCTGCCAGATACTTATGAGCCACTATCATTAACTGCATTTTGAATCAGTCATTGAGCTGGAGGGGGGAAATTGGCCTGCAGTTCATCTCCTCTCCTTTGAAACTGCTAAATGATGATTCAGTGACCTCAGTGGGCAAATTATATCAGCAGCTAATTTGCCTAAGAAGGAAAACTTGCTTTATATCAAATAAACTGGCTGCTGCTCTTCATTTTCCTGAAAAAGATGCTGCAGGTGAAGGAARCCTCCAGTTTCAGACTGTGAGGGGGTTTTGGTGTGGTGCTGGAAACGGGACACAGGGAGCTCTTCCTTTTAGCCCTACCTGGGCGTGGTGTCCCCTGCACCTCCAGCAGGTGTTGTCCTTTGAAGGATAAAAATCTTAACACTTCCTGTGGATAGCCCTCTCCTCTTCCTCCTCAGAGGSTGAAACTGCTCAGTGGGGTGTGATGTTTTTGGATGACTTTGTTCTGAGGGGGATCCCAGCAATCCTGAATTTAGGAAGGGAGCGAAAGCATAATGCAGGGTTCCTGCTCATCACCGTGTCATCCCCACCCTTGCTTTGGCAAAGGAGTGACGTGCCAATTCCCAAACATGCCTGGCAGCTCCGTGGCCCAGCACTGGGGACACGGGCCAGGATTAGCCCCTGGTGGGCAATGGAACGTGCTGGGTGGCCAGGCAGGGAGAGCRGGACGGTGAGCTCCGCTGTGCTGCGGTCAGCCCGACCTCGCTGCTSGCTCAGAACAGTTCAGGGCCAGTGATTCTCTGCCAGGAGGGCTGGAACTGCAGGTGAAGGCCAGGGTAGAAGCATCCAGGTGTAGTCTGTTCAGCTTTCCTTGCCTGAGGAGCTGCGGGAGCGAGCTGGGACGTGTGAAAGGGGTCAGCTGCTCGCTCCTTGCAAGGCTGTTCAGCCACTCACACCACCTCTGAGGATGGTCTTGCCAGCTGGCTCATCCTTCAGGGAAGTTTCAAGAGGCTTATCGCAATCTTACTAGAAATCTGTCGTCTTCTATTAATCTGCTTGTCTCTCCCTGTCTCCTTCCCGAGCGCTGCCCTGCGCTTCATCCCGACAGCCCCGTTCTGCTGCATCTTCACCATCCCACACCAGCTCTGCTGCTGCCAGAGCCCTGTCTAGGGCAGGCACTGTTCTGGACTCTCACTTCCTACTGCCCAACACGGTTTTTTTCTTTATATATATATATATATATATATACAGATACTATATTTTTTAAGGTTTTTGGTTTTTTGAAGGTGCTGCTGCTGGAAGGACCGCGGAGCCAGGGTGCTTTGCTGGCAGCGTGGTTCAGGAGCTGGGATTAAGCTGAGTCCGGCTGRGATTAAGGCAAAACCCGCTCCTAACCCAGTCCTGCTCAACTGCAGGCTCACCACAGGGTGCAATATTGTGTGTGGGAATGACCTGCACCTCGCCCCTGAATTTAGGGTGGTTCCCACTTTGCCGGGCACTTGGCTGTAGCGAGGAGCAGCAGAAAAGCTGTCAGACTTTGGGAGGTGAGAGGAGTGAATGCAGCAGCCCGGGTGTCCCGGCACAGTGGGAATGGGTTCTCAGTGAAGCTGCTGACACCGGACTGAGCCACAACTCATCACCTGCACAGGGATGTGGCTCTTCCTAAGAGAGCTGTTCCTCGCARCTCTCAGAATTGTGTCAGCGCCGGGGTTAACAGCCACGTAGGCACTGAGGAAAAAGAATGAATAGCTCGRGGAAGGCTAAGCCTTAATACCCAAACAAAGCAAACAAATGGTGTATCGTTTGCCGGGGATTACGTGAGCTGCGCGATCGCTGGCTCTAGAGGCCCGGCGAGGAAATGCAAAGCTTTTGACAAAGGTGGCTTGGCTGTCCCTGCTTCCAGAGACAGCATCCATGTGCTGATGCAGGTCCTGGAGCTGCCCATCCGCCTCTCCCCTTGACTTTCACAGGGATGCTCTTTCTCCCGCACAGCACATTGTTTGCTCTCCTTGAACGTCGCTAGCTGGCAGGGAGAGAGATCAGTCTGCTTTTTTCCAGAATAATCACCTGATTTCATCCCATGGGAAGTGGCTGAAAAGCGTGAGACAGGTGGGTTGGCATTCCTGCTTTGTAGCCTTCCATGAKTCCAGCAGGAAGGATAAACGGGAGAAGTGCCCTCGCTGGGTACATTTCCGTGTTTGCATTTGAAAGAGCTCGATAGGCTGTGATTAGCGGGGCCAAATGGGAGCTTGATAAATGGTAAATTCAAAGGAACCTCAAACAAAAAATGGCTTTACAAGGAGGCCTCGGGCTGTGTGCAGAGGGCAGGCTGTGGGTTTGGTGTCTGCTGTTTGGTTTATGGCCGGCACAGGGCACTGCTTGGGCTGTCCCCTGCCCAGGTGTGTCCCCAGGGTGCTCCAGGGACAGCCCTGTGGCTGTGCACACCCTCCTGCAGGCTGTTGTGTCTTTTCTGCTYTAAGTTAATATGGTATCCCCAAATTTAGACTCCCACATCTGCATCTTGGAGCCCCCCATGTCCCCATATCCAGGCTCCAATTAAGGATGCTCCAAAAGCTCTAAAAGCATCAGCTCTCATGGCCTTGCAGATGAGAACCACTGGCCTAATCTATTTTTGCAGTGAATTAAACTAGGAAAAGGTACTGCCACTCTAGAATAAGGAGCCACCTGGGGAGTTAACCCAGAATAGTTGTTCTGCTTTGAATTCTTGCCCTGTCTCRCTTCAAAATAACTTTCCTTCCGTGTATGCCGGCCCTGAAAGTGCAGAATACAGGGCATGGTTTAAGCAGGATCCCCAGCAGAGCCAGGAAAACACCTTMTTTTTATTTGGACTTTTCTTTTTCCTGAGGTCTTCTCTGCATCCACACAATCCAAACTCCTCAACTCAGGCATCATTTTCTGTAATGAATCTTCCCTGTTTCAAGCTCGGTCCCCTGCAGGGATCTGCAGTCCTTTTCCGCCCCCAGCTCTGTGCTTKGCTCTAAC